GCAGCTCGGCCGCCTCGAAGGGGGGGCTGCCCTTGGGGGAGCCTGCGCCGCGGACGGGGCGACGAGCGGGGACAGACGGGACGGGAGGAAAGAGAAAAACAGAGAGACAGAGAGAGACTCGGTCAGCAGCGGGACGAGCGCTGAACCCGCCGCGCCGGGCGCGCGCCCTCCCGCCCGGGCAACGCGCGCACCCGACGGCGCCGCCGCTCCCGCCGGCAGGAAGCGCCCGCGGCGGAGATGCCGCCCCGACGGCCCCGACACCTCCGGCCCCGCAGCTCCCCGCGCAGCCCCGGTCCGAGGTGGGGCGAGGCCGTCGGGCTGCTGCTCCCTGCCGAGGTGTTCATGCCACTTCTACTCTTTAAACCTCAATCCAACTTTTCTTTTTCTTCTCTCCGGGTAGGGGGGACGTGGCCCGTGGGTCCCCCCGGCCGACCCGCAGCCGTCGCCGCGGGGCTGGAGCTCCCCACTTCTGCTCGAGGGGGCAGCGAGGCCGGGGGCGGGCGGCTGAGCTGGGGTCCCGTCACGGGCGAGCGAGGCGCCTCCCGCGCCCCCCCCCGCGCAAGCAGCGCCCCGCTCTCTCATTTTTAATTTTCAGGGCAGAAACACGGCGAGAGCAGCTCCCCGCGACGGCGCCCGCCTCGCGGCCGGCGCTGCCCGTCCCCGCGCAAGCAGCGCGGAGGTCTCGCCCCGCGGCGCCCACGGGCTCTCACCTTGCGCGGCCGCGTCGTCGGCGGGGCGTGCGGGCAGGGGCGGCAGGGCGGGCGCGGCGCCCAGCAGCCGCACCTTGCAGGGGCTGCGGCGGCCCAGGATGCTGTCGATGCAGTAGGAGGAGAGCAGCGTGGGCGACTTGCTCTTGCAGTCGGGGCGCTCGGCGCAGCCCTCGGGCTCCGGGTAGGGGCCGCTCATGGCGGGCGCGGCCGCGCGGGACGCCCGTCACGGGGGGACTGGCGCGGCCGCCGCGCCGCTCTTGAGTCCCCCGCGCGCCACGTGCTGCCGCGCGCGCCCTCATTGGCTGCCCGCGGGGGCCGGGCCGCCGCGGCGCAGCGGCGCGCAGAAAAGCCCGGCGCGGACTCGCGCGGAGCGGCGCCCCCTCCCCGCACGCACCCCGGGGGGGTGGGGTGGGGGATGTACGCGGGACGGGGGGGTGGATCCGCGCCTGGTTTTGCCCCGCGCCGCGCAGCCGTGCGCGGGGCGGGACGGGGCTGCGGGGAGCGCCCGGCAGCCGCGGCCCTGCGCGCCCTCCCCTGCCCCGCGGCTGCACGGAGGCCCTGCCTCGGTTTTGTTTTATTTATTTTATTTTATTTTATTTTATTTTATTTTATTTTATTTTATTTTATTTTATTTTATTTTATTTTATTTTATTTTATTTTATTTTATTTTATTNTTATTTTATTTTATTTTATTTTATTTTATTTTATTTTATTTTATTTTATTTTATTTTATTTTATTTTATTTTATTTTATTTTATTTTATTTTATTCTACTTTTCTCAATTTAAATGCATTCTCCTTTATTTTTCTTTACTCCGTTTAATTTTATTTCATTTTCTTGAAATTCTTTCCTTTGTTTTTCCTGTCACTTCGTAATTTTACTCTTATTTTTGTTCCCTCTCTTCTCCCCGCAAGTTGGGCTTCCCCCGCTCAGACGGCGCGGACCCGCCCGCTCTTTCCCGGCGGGTTCCCCGTTACCGCGCGCTCCGCTCCGCGCCTGCCCCGGCTGCTAGCGCGTTCCGCGCCCCGCAGCGGCCCCCGCCGTCCGCGCCGCTCTCCCCTCCCGCCTCCGCCGTGTGGCGCGGAGGTTCCGCGGCCGTCCCGACGTGCGCGCCCGCCCCGCGGCGGGGGCTGCGCGGAGCGGCTGCCGGGGGGAGCCGCCTGCTCCCGGGCTCCGCGCAGCGCAGCGCCCGCCTCCTCGGGGGCATCAGCGCTTTAACTCATTAACTAATAAAATAAAATTAAAAAAAAGAGAGAGAAAAAGAAATGTGAGGAAAGAGGAGAGCCGGGAGGAAGCAGCGCGCGGAGGAGCCGCCGCCTCCGGGGGCTGCGGGCGCGGAGCAGAGCGCGGCCCGGGCCGGGGCGGCAGCGCGGGCCGCGCAGGGCAGGGTGCCCTCGCACGGAGCCTCCCCGCTTCCCCTCGGCTTAAACACGGCTTAAATCCGCCCCTCGCCTCCGCCGCCTTCTCCTGCGCCCTCGGCGCAGCCCGGGGCCCGGCCGGGCGGAGACCCGCCGGCCCCAAACCCGCCCCGACGGGGCTCTCGGCAGCCGCCTCCGGCCCCGGCCCCGGCCCGGCGGCTCATCCCGGGCAGGGCTGCGCCGCGCCGCGGGCTCGCCGCTGCCGAGTCACTGTGTTGTCTTATTTATTTTTTTTTAAACAAACTTTCATTCATTTATGGTCTCTCCCTCTCTCTTTTCACCCCCTCCCTTCCCCCGCAACCTGCTAATTTAACACTGGAGCGCGTTATTGCAGTGTTAGGGTGAGAGAAAGAGAGAGAGAAAACAACAATACTGCAATGATCCAAATGATACAGTGGAATTATAGCAATTATAGTTCTGCTCGGAGAAGAAAACCTTGCTGAGCTCAGCCAAACAAACTGATGCCTTGTAAGGATAACAAGCTTGGGAACTGACAGCCAATGCTGCGAAAGGCAGGAGGGCACAAACCGAAATATTTGCTTTTTTTCCCCTCTCGCTCCATCCAGCCCCGACCAGCACCGGCGGCTCTTAGAGCCGTCGCCCTGTCCACCCGCTTGCGCGCCCGCGGCCGCCGCCGCGCCTCCTGCTCCGCTCTGCCCAGCTCCGCGCCCCGACGGGCCCCGGCGCTGGGGCTGCCGCAGAGCCGGCCCCGGAGCCGCCGGATCGGACCGGGCCGGACCGCAGAGGCCCCGGACGGCGCCCGGCACCGGACGGCGCTGCCGAGCGGCGCCCGCAGCCCCCTCGGGCCGCCCCGCCCGTTCGCTGCTGCGGGCGCCATGGAGGGAGCCGGGTGGCCGGGACCCCCCCGGCACGCCAGCCCCCTCCAGGAAAGGAAGGGAAGGGGGAGGGACCTCCCGGCCCCCGACGGGGCCTCGCGCCCGCGCTGGAGCCCGTGGCACGCGGCGTGCGGGGAGGGGGAAGAAGGAGGGCGGGCGGGGGGAGCCCCCCCAGGCAGCCCCCGCTTCGTTTTGGGGGAAAAGCGGGGCCCAAAGCCCGGGCCGAGCTCCCGCAGCCATCCCTCCGCCTCTGCCCCAGGGCCGTTCCCCCCAGGGAAGAGGGATTTTTTTTTTTTTTTAATTATTATAAGCCCGTCCTCCGCAAAACTTCTCCCCCCTCCCCCCCGCAAAAAAATAAATAATTTTTAAAAAAGTCAAAAAAAGCAGTCCTTGCAGGGTTGGCTTCAGAAGGGCAGGTCGCTCTCACGGCTGGAGGCGGGGGTTTAAGCTTAACGGGCGGCTGCCGGGCTCAGGCTACCCGGGAACGCGCCGCGGCCGCGGGCATCGCGGGGGACGCGGAGCGGCGGCGCCGCCGCGGCCCTCAGCGCCTCGGGAAGCGCCGCTGTCTCGGTCACCGCGTTGGGAAAGCGCCGTTTCGGTCACCGTTTTGGGAAACGCCGCCTCGAGCCGCTGAGCGGCTCCTCGCCCCCGTTCCCCCGGGGCCACGCGGAGCCGCCGCCGCTCCCGCGCTCCCGGCCGCGGGGCAGCGCAGGGTGACCCGGGGCTCCTTTGGGCTCCTTCTGTTCATCTCCACATTTATTTGGTTGATTTTTTAATTCTTTCACCCCGCGATGGAGAAGAAAACGAGAATAACGACTACCGAGCACCCCCGCCGCGCATCGCTCTGCGCGGGGCATGCAGCGGAGCCGGGGCGCGCGGGGAGCGCGGGCGCAAAGTGCGCGCCCCTCCGCCGCGCAAAGTGCGCGCCCCTCCGCCCCCTCGGCCGGCTCCGGGCCGGGCGGCGCCCGCCGGACTGCGCACGGCTGCCCAGTGCCTTGTGAATATATATATATATATGTGTGTGTGTGTGTGTGTGTGTGTGTATGTACATTTTTATTTATTTGCTTGTTTACTTGTCAGGGTGACGATGTGGGGTGGGATCCCGCGCTCCTCCCGCAGCTCGGGCCGGGGCAGGGAGGTGCCTGGAGCCGCAGCGCGGGACAGCACTGGAGAGGAGAGCTGAGCACCGGGAGGGATCCCAGCGCAGCTGCCCGTCGTCTACAGCTGCCGTGAAATGTTTGGGGCGACTTTGCAGCCCTGTGTGTACAAATACACAGCACAGGGCTCTGCTGAGCCATTGGTGGCTTCTCCCTTAAGACAGGGAAACGGTTATTGCTTTGTTACAGAGCATTAATGGAAAGGTTCAATAAGCTGCACTCAGCAGCCGACCATGGGGAGCTGCCCCAAAACTGCTCTGTGGGGCAGTGGGGGATTGGTCTGCTCTGAATCCACACCCTAGAGAAGTGCTCATTCTGCAGGTACCGCTTCTTCCTGGGCATCTAGCAGATGGTTTCCCTGTTTTCTGGCCTGTGCCTGGGCAGGAGTTGGCGACAGGAGTTGAGGGCTCTTGGGAGGGCTGCACAGGATGTCGGTCAGTGCAGGTTGCAGAGCTGGAGCTGCCCCACAGCCCTGGGCAGCCAGTGGGACTGTCACTCTGCCATAGGCTGGGCAGCCGTGTCCTCCCTTCGTCCGTATCAGGATAAATCAGGCTTGAACACGACAGCCTGCACTGCCAGTGCTCCTCTGCCTGTCAAGTAGTCCAGCTTTTGCTGCTCACTTTGGGTGCATTGCCGCTCATGCAGCAATTTCTGCATTAAGGTAGGTCTGGACAAAGGCCAGGTGGTGACTTCGAAACTGTTATTCACTTTATTTAATATCTAGCCCATGCTGGTGTGGGAGCAGAATCTGGGCCTCATTCCGTATATTTAATTCAAGAAAAATGTTTTCTAAAGCCATCCATATTCAGTCATCTTTTTTTTTTAATTGCTTGGTAGTTTATTTCTCTGTTTGGATGGTTTTCATTTTTCATGGAGCGATTGGTTTAGGAGGATGCACCTCCTAAAGGATGTACAGGACGTTCCCTCCTCACCTTTGGGCAGGCCTTTGAGCAGGCACCTTGAGGACATCCAACCGTGAGGGGGAACTTGCTCGAGTGTCTCCTGCCTGGGTCACACACCTCTCTCTCCTGGCTCTCTGCTGTTGTCACTTCCTCTTCTTGAGCTCCTCTGTCCTTGGTTTCATGAGATCCCCACGGGGCTGGCATCTCTTGAGTGATACTCATGTTGGCATCGCTTGCCGGCACCCTGTCCTGTCAGCCTGTCACCTGGGCTCCTCCACGTCAGCTGAGGCTCTGCCCAGGCTTTTAGCTTTACTCTTTTTGCCTTGTGTGCGCCCTCATTTGGCATTTTGGTGAGGACAAAACGGGTGCCTTAACGCCACATGGCTTCAAGCCCAAACCAATGCTTCAAGCCTGGAAGACATTTATTTGTCAGCAAATGTAAATGGCCGGGTGAACAGCGGGTAACTGGATGGGATCCTCTGTGCTGTGTTTACTGGAGGTGGGGCTAGCAATGCCATGGTGGTTCCTTTGACCCAGGAAAACCTATGGATAAGATCTCTAGTAATTTCACTGCTATAATCCTTAGAAACTCAGTGAAATTATTTATTCAATAAGGAGTAGTGGTCTAACAAATTAAAATGTTGATCATAAGCTTATTTCATATGATGCCTTCTGTGTTCTGATTCATTTTTGTATGTGCTGACTAGAACCAAACAAAAAAATTCGTACCAAATAATTTGTCAAATACCTGATCTTCTTTTGCTGGAACATCCATGAATGTCCCTTTTTTTTTTTAAATATATATTCCACCCTGATTCAGCGGCTCCTTTAAATGAAAGAGTAACGGCTTGGCTGCAAACGGTTTCCGTTGTTTAGCTGTAGC